TAACAATAAGTAGTCGTCAGGAATGTATAACTATCTAATGTAAGCAGATGATTAGAAGTTATTATATTTAGATCCTTTTTGGGTCATGTTTAATGTGGAATCTTCTAGAACGCCTATTGACTAATCCAGCATGTTATTGAACTGTATAGAAGGGAAGGAAAGTTGACAATGCATGCCTTTCGAATCTCACATTACATCATTGCTAGCAGTTGTGTGCAGAGCATTCGTCTCACTCTGGATATCCAGTCTTGACCTTTTTTGAAATAGTCGAGTGTATATTTATCCCTGACGTTTTTGCTTTTACCACTGCTGTTGTATATTATACTGCCAGTGAAATTGCACTCTCATTGAATTTTGTGTGTACTGCCCTCAAAATTACTTTGCAGTAATTTATGTTCATTTGCTAACCAAGATTACTTTATAATACAACTGTTCATTGTATAACATGTCTTTGTATTTTGTATTTGGCCACGTTGCAGGAACTCCATGAGGCCACCTTGCAGGAACTACATCAGGCCACCTTGCAGGAACTCCATGAGGCCACCTTGCAGGAACCCCATGAGGCTACCTTGCAGGAACCCCATGAGGCCACGTTGCAGGAACCCCATGAGGCCACGTTGCAGCAGGACCTCCATGAGGCCACCTTGCAGGATCTCAATGAGGCCACCTTGCAGGAACCCCATGAGGCCACCTTGCAGGAGCTACATGAGGCAACCTTGCAGGAACTACATGAGGCAACCTTGCAGAAGCTCCATGAGGCAACCTTGCAGGAGCTCCATGACGCTGCCTTGCAGGATCTCCATGAGGCCACCTTGCAGGATCTCCATGAGGCTGCCTTGCAGGAGCTCCATGAGGCCACCTTGCAGGAATTCCATGAGGCCACCTTGCAGGAACTCCCTGAGGCTGCATTGCAGGTACTTCATGAGGACACCTTGCAGGAACACCACGGGGCCACCTTGCAGGAACTCCATGAGGCTACCTTGCAGGATCTCCATGAGGCCACCTTGCAGGAACCCCATGAGGCCACCTTGCAGGAACCCCATGAGGATACCTTGCAGGAACCCCATGAGGCCACGTTGCAGGAACCCCATGAGGCCACCTTGCAGGAACCCCATGAGGCCACGTTGCAGGAACCCCATGAGGCCACCCCAGCAAACAATTCTACGTTGTGACAACGTTGTGACAACGTTGACTTTTCGTTGCTATAACGTTGTGATGTTACGTCATCACAACGCAAATCTGTAGACTCCCAGATTGGTTGCTACAACGTTGTGCATAAACCAAAATACAACCAAATCAAGACGTTGTCACAACGTCCATTTTTTACATTGCTACAACGTTTAACCAAAACGTTGCGACAACGTAGGTATCGCATACTGTTTACATGTGGCGACACTACAGCCATTTCAGCACGTTGCTGCAATGTCCATGTAGATTAACGCCTGTTTTATTCCTCAATATCTCCCAGGCAGCCTGAAAAGTTTGTACCAATCTAGTTAAGCCGTCAGGTACCAAGCAATACATTCTGCAAACTGAATTCACTTGAACCCTATCCATGAAACAGCAAGTCAATGAAATGCACTCTCTTTTGGCAGAGTTTGAAATACAGCCAAGATAAAAATCTAAATGTTTTAAATTACATGTACAATTTGGTTATATAATATTTACTTTCCCAAACAATTTTCAAGGCTATGTGCAAATTGTTCACAAATGTTTCAACACAATTAAAAGATATTTAATTTTCCTACGAATTTGCAAATTAAAACCATCAAACAATAAGCCCTGCACAAATTGAAACATTTAAATTTTCTTGGCCTTACCCCATACATTCAGCATTGAGAGCAACACTGTGACAAACAGAATAGTCTATGCATCTGATGTCCTAAGATCCATTTCCCAGGAAACGAAATGACAATAGGATTCTGGTTGAGGTGACCTTTATTTATTTGTTAAATGACAAGTCAGAACTTGGGCTGAGTTGCTGAGGAGCCTTTTCAGTCCTAAAATGAAAATCACAGGGATGATCTTCAACTGTATCCATAGTCTCTCCTTATGCCTTGGTAACTGAATAAAAAATGACACAAATGTTATAAAATGGCAAGACAAGGGACATATTTCTGACAAGAACAAAATAAGGGTTGCATTCCTCAAAATAATACTTTGATGTCTGATGTTAGTCTTTAAACTGTTAAAAACTGGTGAAAGTGCGAAGAAGGCGCTGACAGTAATACCATGATGCTCTTGGATCATACATAGGCAGAAAAGCTTTTAGCACTGAATCATTGGTGTAACTTTATACCCCCGCCCTTTTAGATTGTGGGTATAATTAAATAAGAATCATCTAAATTTTAATTCTTGAAGAAGTTTGTATATATTATTGCATCATACATATCTTTCTGTCAGTGATGTACTTTAAACAAATATGCTCCCACAATACTGTTTTCTCAACCTGAAAGAAAAACAGAAACCTCAAAGTATCACATTCTTAAATAAACCAGTACTGTATAGCTAATCCCATTTACTTAGACTAATAGAGTATGATGTAACTGGTGATAATATTGCCAAATAGTTTTATCAGTCAACAGATCAACTGTAGTTATTCAAAAGCTGTAACTTTACCTTTCTGCTGTACATCACAAACTATAGTGATTCAAGTGAATATGTTGGCCAAGTTTCTAAAACCTTATTTGAAAAATATGTACATAAATGAAAAATATATATTGCCAAATAAAATAAATAATTCCCATATTTGAAGCAAGAATGTTGAATATGAATTACGAATTGACCCACTAATAAGTTATAGAAGTGTTAACACTTTGGGGTATTTATCCTAATTAAAATTGTGATTTTCTTTTTTTAATACTTAGATCTACCTTAATATTTTCCATATTAATATGCCAGGATAGTTATATAGTTAGATAGATCTAGTTACATTTACAAACATGGGGAAATTAACAAAATGCAATAGCTTATACAATACCAAACGAAGTTGAAACAGCTCTGTAAATATTTATTGAAATGTATTTGTTACTACGTTTATTAACATAGATCTAATACAGTTCAATATCGTTAAATATAATTCTGTAGTATGGTCGCCTACGTGGCGACATATGGAGATCGAAAACCGAACGAATATGGTTGCTATCAATTCCCTTGTATTTTTCATTGGTGCACATTTACTACACCTATCTCATCTTAATAATCAACAAACGATGACCAACTCACCAATAATATATGGTGATATTTAGCTTTTGACTATAGGCTAGCTTATCATCACTAGCGAGGACAATACCGCAAACACCCCGTTATAGCGCGCGACGAGAGACTCGTTTTACTTTTGCTCGTTTTCGTTAGAAGGGAGTGGGACATAGATCTAGTTATCGGAAAATGGTGAATTAATTAGATTTGGAAATAATAAAAATACACATGATAAGCGCCTTGCTATTATAAACTTTATAGACAGCACCAACATCCTGATGATCCACATTTAGGCTACTTCAGTCAGTGTTAATTAGGCCTTTTCGGAAACAACAAGCATGTTTCTGTCTCTTCCCGAAAATACAATTTTTTCATAACATCATTTAGCGCTTTAGACCAGAGCTACAACCAGCAGCCTATAGAGGGTCGATCTGAAAATACTTCCATTGTGTTGATTCCCTCTTTTCGCTGTATAAGAGAATCTCTACTTCACCTTTCCCATGGCCTGAATGAGCCACATTGTTTCACAAAAAATCAAAGTCAGAAGATTAGTACATTTAAACTTTAAATAGTAAGGATTTCAGAAATAACACGGAAGAAATGGCGATAACTGTCAGTGGTCAGTAGGCGATGCATAAGTTAGGCCTATTTACAGACCTAGACGCTTACGCTTATCCATAAAAAAATAATATGGAAAAAAAGTCTTTGGCCCCCTTCACCCCTATCATCATGTTCTGTGTATCATATTTATATCAACACTGACGCTCAGTGAAAGTGACCGGCAAACTACATTCTAGGCTAAACCCTGCCACTTCTGAATAATACGATACATTTAAATCATTTGACGATCTGCATGTACAGAAAGATATCAACAAGCGGAGACTACTTTTGAAAAATTAACTTACCTCATCCGAATTCAAAGATAATCTGTCCAGCTCCAGTTGCTGCACAATCACTTGCTTGTAACATATTTTGTCCAGAGTGAGTTTGAACTAAGATGGCTGGTGACAACAAATCTTCCGCGACAATGTGACGTCATTCTGACGTCACTTCACGAGGCAACAGGCTAAACTTTTCTGTAGTCGCTCTCACGCCGCAAAAATCACGCGCCAATATTGTTTTTAACTGTAATATTGCTTGTGACAACATTTAGTAGACAGAAAACTGTATATATATATATATATATATATATTTAAACATAATAACACTAAGAGATGGTAGATCTACAAGTGGTTTCCTAAACATCATTTACAAAAAAGTGTTGTAATGTCCAAAGCACAACGTTATCACACATCAATTTGCAACGTTGTTGTAACGTTGTGGAATAACGTTGTCATAAGAGATGCGCAATTACGTTCTGGAAATTTTATTATTAAGAGACCAAAATTCAAAAGCCGATTATATTGAAAAGTAATGCATTACTACCTTGGTATTCTGACAAATTCATGTTGATTTTGATAAAGCAGTTCTATTCCTTTATGACTATCGAGAAGCAAACTCAATAACGTTTCACCGACACAGAAACGTAGTTATAAAACGTTGTGTGATATCCAATGCACAACGTTTTCACAACGTGACTGTGCAACGTTGTTATTACGTTGTGAAATAACGTTACACGTTGACGTCATAATAACGTTGTGACAACGTTATATCACGACGTTACCTATCCACAACCTTTCCACAACGTTGTGACAACGTCATGTGTTAGCTGGGACGTTGCAGCAGGAACACTCGATGAGGACACCTTGCAGGACCTTATTGAGGCCACGTTGCAGGAACTCCATGAGGCCACCTTGCAGGAACTACATGAGGACACCTTGCAGGATCTCCATGAGGCCACCTTGCAGGATCTCCATGAGGCCACCTTGCAGGATCTCCATGAGGCCACCTTGCAGGATCTCCATGAGGCCACCTTGCAGGAACCCCATGAGGCCACCTTGCAGGATCTCCATGAGGCCACCTTGCAGGAGCCCCATGAGGCCACGTTCCAGGAACCCCATTAGGCCACGTTGCAGGAACCCCATGAGGCTGCCTTGCAGGAGCTCCATAAGGCTGCGTTGCAGGAACTCCATAAGGCCCCCTTGCAGGAACTCCATGAGGCCACCTTGCAGGAACTCCATGAGGCTGCCTTGCAGGAGCTCCATAAGGCTGCGTTGCAGGAACTCCATGAGGCTGTTTTGCAGGAGGTCACGTTGGTCACGTTGCAGGAACTACATGAGGAGACCTTGCAGGAACTACATGAGGACACCTTGCAGGAACACCACGAGGCCACCTTGCAGGAACTCCATGAGGCTGTCTTGCAGGAACTACATGAGGCCACCTTGCAGGAGCTCCATGAGGCCACCTTGCAGGATCTCCATGAGGCCACCTTGCAGGAACTACATGAGGCTTGCCTTGAAAATCAATACATTTCACAGTTTTCAGCACAAATTTACAACATTTCGAAACATTGTAGGGGTCATGTGGACATTTTTACCCCAGTCTACATTGAACTAATGCAATTTTACAGGGAGTGATGGGGTAGCCTAGTTGTTAAAGCGTTGGCCCGTCACGCCGAAGACCCGAGTTCTATTCACGAAATGGATACAATCTGTGAAGCCCTTTTTTGTTGTTGCCAGCTGTGATAATGCTTCAACTTTGCTAAACGCGGTGTAAAACCATACCCATTCACTCATCTTTTTACACAACAGTACCCAGCAACAGATGACTTTCTACAATCTGTTGCAGCAACGAGTGATGATTAAATAGAAATTATCAAATTTAACAACAGCTCTAAACTTGCAATTTCATAAAAAATCCAACTTGGCATACTTTCTTTTGGGAGTGATCTGTGTTCTCAGACTTTTCACTTTCCTGGTCAAGTGTGCATGAATGAGTTTGACAATAAAAATATACCATTCAGTAAAAATTTCCAAAACTGTCGATTTTTAAAAAAATCAATGAGTTGGAAAAAGCTATCTGTCTCCTCCAGAATATATTTATCACCTTTATCACTTCAACAACATAGATTATTTTACGCATTGCTGAATGGAACAGCACTAGTCCTGAAAGCAGCATTGTGTTTCTGTCGTGTTTCTGTCGAAGGTTGCACAGAGACAAACCATGGCACCAAAACATATCAATGTCGTCCTTCTTGCTTGTGTCAGTGCCATCGCTATGGCATCTCAAGCTTTGAACAAACAGAGGCAGCCAATGGGAGTGGAAATGTGCAAGGATTATTGTCGACAATTCTCTTGGTGTAAATATTGTAGGTTTCTGCCGAATACATATGTCTGCAAGGTCAGCAGTGTCAGACACCTACAATTGGAACAGAATCAGCAAGAAATCACGTTTAACACTTGCAATGTAAGACGCAGTTTTGTTGGAACAATTGTTTTATCGTGGTTTCGTGTATTATGATAGCACCGTATTGTTCTCAAGTCACAAGATTACTCTTTTATATTTGTGGGTTGTCTAACGCCGCAACTGGACATATTCCAGCTGAATGACGGTTTCTGCTGATTACATATGTCTGCAAGGTCAGCAGTGTCAGACACCTACCATTAGCACAGAATCAGCAACAAGTCACCTTAAACACCTACAGTGTAAGACGCAGTTTTGTTTCAACAATTGTATTATTCACATTATTGTTGTGTATGATTGTTGGTTGTCTAAAGCTGCAACTGGACATATTCCAGTGGTCTATAAATAATCGAGCCGGCAAGTAATGTCCTGCTTGTTGATTGGGACCAAACCAATTAATTCAATATTATTCCAAAATCACCAAATTCATTGACCAAACATAATGTGTCACAAGTAAATTATTACCGCCACACCTTTGGGGAAGATCTAAATGTGCGTTTGCTTCCAAGTTAACATCCAACATTGTCCATGTTTCCAGAAGGGACATGAACCACAACTACAGCAGCAATGCTCAGGAAAACACCTATGGGTTGTCTTTACAACCAATGTGTAGACTGTAAGTATATTTGTAAGCAAAAGTCTGTGTACAGGTACAGCATACTAACTCCCAGCCGACCGGTCGTTATTGTAGACCCTCAATGCTAGGTCACCTGAGCCAATGAATGATAGCATGAGCAAAGCCATGTCATCTCGCTCCTTATTAATTGGACCGCCTCCGTGGTCTTGTGGTAGAGCGTCCGCCCGGAGAGCGGAAGGTCCGGGGTTCGATCCCGGGCCGCGTCATACAAAAAGACGTTAAAAGATTGTACTTGTTGTTACCCTGTCTGGCGCTCGGCATTAAGGGGCTAAAACAAGGACTGGTCGGCTCGGAGTCAGTATACTGTGTCTGAGTGGGGTATTCATGTTAAACTGCGGCATGGTATCTCAGTGAGCTAGCACTATAAATCGGCATCAGTCCGGACTAGTACAAGCAGCCACACACACACATACACGTGCATGCACGTCGCTATATAAGTGCAATAATCTTGGACGCGACGTTAAACCCAATTTCACCTCACCTCACCTTATTAATTGTCTACTAGGATGAGCAACAATTTCATCCTCTCGGATTTACCAGATCCAGCGGCAAACATATTGGGGAAGTATGATGCCTATTTTAGTCCGCCATACAAGTGCTCCATATACATCCCTGTAACACAAGGTTGATGAATGACTTCTTTGATAGGCATTACTTAGGAGTCGACGGATAACAAAGTAGAAACAATTTATGGATAACTACTTCTTTAATACTGTAAAGGCTACGTTTCTGTATAGATTTTAAAACCGTTGAGCAAGACTAACAGAGGAACGTTGTTGTTTATCCTCCACCTACTGTACATATTCCTTACAATGTTCCTTATTCAGTCTTGCTTGGCAACGGTATAAGGATCTATACAGAAACGTCGCCTTTACAGTATTAAAGGAGTTGTTATCAATAAATTGTGTCTACTTTGTTGATAAGTGAACACGAACATGCACAAGGAAACTGATGGTTATCTATGGTGGTTGAAGTGTGAGCAGCCATTTCGGTGGTTGTGTTTTTGTTTATCGCCACGCTGATACGATACGATAAATGCATGTGAATAACTGTGCCAGTCTCATTGACTTTGTTGATGCGTATCATCGTATCCTAATTGCGGAGGTCGATGTTCATGATGTCAATTACTGTTTTTTTCTGTCTAGACACAGTGAGTTACAAACCGGCACCGTGTAGCCTGACAATGGCTGAGCGCGATGTTTAACAAAAAAACAAACAAACAAACTTACGAACCAACAAACTAACATTGTTTTCAGATCCTATCAAAAATCCTGGTGGCTTCACTTTTGAGATATATGGAAAAACCTTTCTACCAGATAAACCTACAAGACAACTCATGGAAGGTATACCAGAACATAAAGCCATTGAGCGTTGCTGCCTTTGCCTGTGTTCACTATTCAAGAACGGTATAAGGATATATGTTTTGGCTTTAGATGGAGCTGCACAAACATTGTACTACAACACTGGCCATACATAAATTCAGAATAATTTATCTAGTAACACGAGTAAAATCCTAGCTACTTTTGAGTTCACGCCAAGGAATATTGTCTGCCATGTGATATGTATATCGTCTACGATGTCTTCCCATGAGGTCGGTGTCTGGAAACCTTCCCTTTATATCCAGATACTGAAGATGTCCGAAAAGACAGCAGCGTCTCTCATTATGATTGCTAATACCTTAATAGGGACCACTACAACTACCACCTTTGTGGTGACAATGTGAAGGGGGTTGTGGGGTTGACGGGTTGTTGGGTGTTGAATGTGGAGTGTGTGTGTGTGTGTGTGTGTGTGTGTGTGTGTGTGTGTGTGTGTGTGTGTGTGTGTGTGTGTGTGTGTGTGTGGTTGCTTGTTCTAGTTGGGACTGATGCCGATTTATAGTGCTAGCACACTGAGGTACCGACATATAGGCAGAATGTGAGAAGCCAATTTATGATGTCCCCCGTCGGTTTAGAAAACCACTCACTCAATCGCCTACTGTTAATGTAAATGAAAGTAATTTTGCCTCAAGTTTCGCACCAAAAGTTACATTGTTCGCTGGAAAGACTTGATATCCTAAAAAACGTGTATTGTGGAACCATAAATGTTCGATTTTTTTCAATGAACAAAATGCGTGTTTTTGAAGAAGTTAATAAATATTCCATCTCTTACAAAAATCCAAAGATGATTACTGCTGCCAGCTAATTATTTCAGCTTTTGATTATACAATCAGCTTCACATTACGTTATTATACTTAGATATATTAATCAAAATATAGTGTTATGTTTTGTATTGTGTTTGAAAAGTTGTATTGTATCATCAGTTAGTACATTGTATAGCCCTTTTTATAGACTCAACATTGTTACGAGTGATGGTGTAGCGAAGGGGTATACCTCAAAACCACTCACATAATTAAAATGGATTGCACAAAAATATAATTGCAGTTACACAAAGAATAACTCTTAAACCTCAATACCGGCTCACATAATGATAACAAAGGGCATGCTAGCAATACCATCAGTAAAGCAATATGGCATTATTAAAATACAAAATCATAGTCAACAGGGGTATGATTATGCAAGCCTGCATCAAACATAGTTGCACAATGGTACATAGTTCAAGGCGCATCGATATCATCTCAGTTTTCATCAGCCCCGACATGGGTACAATTTTACACACAGAGTAAAATCATAGATACAACTGGAGGAGGCAACAAATTAGCCTGCTTCACCACTAAAATACAATCACTACTGCTTTGTCAAGAAGCTACCTACTTTCACTGAAACACAAACGCTACTCACTTGAGTCAATCACATCACAAGCTTTATGTTCAATTACATAACAGGCAATTCACTTAACTAAAAGCCCTATACCTCAAGTCACGTCTAACTGCACCTAACATACTGATAAAAAGATAAAAGAAGACACCACATCTTCAAATACATCAGCACATATAACACTATTTTACATGTATACGACAGCTCCATGGATGATTCAAAGACACTTCGCGTCTGACCTGAAGTCAAGTTTAACGGTTAACACCAACTTTTGTTTTTTATTGTACAGAAGTGTCATTTATTCTTGAAGAAGAATTGTTCTTTTGTTACATTGTTTCTGTTGGGATTTAGTTCACTGCATTGTATTTGGATAATGTACAGTTGTCACAAATGTAGTACTATTTAATATTAGCAGTGGGGAGAAATTAATTATGTTTAGATTCTTGAACTAGTTGCAAACTTCCGGAATAGCATGGATTGATATCCAGCATAAAAGAAACATGTGGCATATTCTGTTGTGTTCAAATGCCACTGGACTGGACAGGAACTACATAGAAAGTGTTTGTTGGAACCTGGTTAGACATTATATGTTCGGCGGGCGCGTCCATTGTCTCATCTCACATTGCATCTGACTTTACATCAACACCTACTTTCGTGTTAGGATCACTCTTTCACCAGGGTGTTGAGCCTAGGCCTATCACGGAAGCTTGACCACTGTTGCAGCAACATGATTAATATTCTAGTTATTGTCATTTCCAATACTCTCACGTTTGGTACTGCAATTAAATATTGTACTACCACTTTATTGTGCACTGTCATTGTAATTACTTGGCAGTAATTTGAATTGATTTGTAAACTGAGTTTATTTTGACAAACAGTTGTTGAGTGTATACCATTTGTTGGTTGTTTGTTGGTTTCATACTAAATTCTTTTACGTACAGATTTATGGGCTTCCATATGTAAAAAACACGACCCTTGCTGAAATGTGTGGCCCGGTCAATATTAGATATACACGTAAAAGAAGCACTATTAGAGACATGTCGCTATTTTGCATTTTACAACCTAAGAAATATGTTTCATTGGGAAGACGAAACTGGTTATTGACGTATTTTTATTGCCAACATTTCATTTGGAAGTATGCATCACCAGATGTTTCTGTTTAACTATCCCCCTGTCGTAAATCACCATCATGGTATCAATATAAATGTCAATGCGACAGAATATCGTGTCTATATTTTCCAACCAAACATATTCCATTGGGCGTAAAATGCAAAATAGCGCTGCAAATGATATGAATGGATCCATATATCACTGAAAATCAGTGATGACACCAGATGTGTTCGCAAAAAGGCTAACACTTTGCCTCAGATGAGTATGCAAAGTTAAGCAGAAAGCTCTTAGAATTCTTGTCTGCAAGCTGGGACCTTGTCAGTATCCCATGCGTAAAATGTTTGTAAATTGAGAACGCATCCACAGAGAGTATTGATATCTGGAATGGTTTCTGCACTTGTAAGGATTTGACATTTGACATTCCAGTTATGCACACAAAGTTATAGTTTTTTTTAAAAGTTTGCCTGTGCTTGTTTGAGGGAACATCTCTGATAATAATAATAATAATAATAATAATAATAATAATAATAATAATAATAATAAATAATAATAAATGATAATAATAATAATAATAATAATAATAATAATAATGATAATAATAATAATAATAATAATAATAATTATAATAATAATTATAATAATCACCTATAACCATACAAAACACCAAAAAGCATAACTGGCTCAATAAGTTCATATACAGTTTCTCAAACATAGACGACAAAACCTTTTCTGTTATCACAAGAAATCTCTGCTAAATGCAGAGTCCATTGTTCATTTCACACTGTGTCATAATCATGTGTCTATGAATCACTATCAAATAGGTTTTATCAGTCTGAATTGAGATATTTCTGATGTAAAACTATTCGATTTCTCGTCAGTTTCTGATACGGGTCCAAGTTGTGACCACATTTACAGGGCAGTTCAGGATGCATATGTCAGAAAGCAATGCCACAACATTGGGTTGGTCACATGTGTCATGCACGCAACAAACACCCCACGTCACCAACTACATACGCAACCAATAAACTTGCAATCAAACGTAGACTTTTGACATTAGTAACGGCAGTGATTTCAGCCTGTTGTCTGTTTTACACTATTTCCCTTTTTCAAATTAAATGTTGGTCCACAGTTTGTGATTAAGTATGCTCTGAAGTATTAAAATTTGCAGAGATGACATGTTGAGTTTACTTGCCCTTTGAGTCCCAAAAAGGAACAAAGGCGTTACCACACGTCGTTAGCTAAACATGTTATGACATATGTCACACACGCTAGGATTTCAACATTCCAAAATCTCTCTTTCTGAAAACTGTGGAATATAGTTAATGGTGACAGTACTTACTTACCCCGACCCTTTCCCACGTACATGTACTTGTAATATTATCGCAATGCAATGAAATGATGCATAAGTCAGAGGAGAAATGTCAATCGTTGTGATTACCATTTAAGTTCATAAGTGATCAATTTTCTTCGACAATATCGTTCAACCCAAACTCTTAATGAGTTTACTGATACTTGATAATCTGAATTTTGTATTATTTGCTTTTAATAAACTAAACCGTTTTCATTCTAGTAAATTCCAAACAAGTTTAGGGTATTTAGGTATCAACACGTGTTTGAATGATCGGACAAGGATTAAACAGTTTTTTGACGGTGTAGTTACCAATTAAACGTCTTCTTGGGAGAGGAAGTGCCTACAACTAACATAAAGACGGATCATATTAGATTACTTATTATTAGCTGCAAAATATATATGATCAGGTCATGACACATTTTGAAATATTTGTCTTGATTTACTGAACGACACACTGTCTGGGACCCCAAGCTCAATGTCTGCAGTAGGAAAACATTAATGTTTGGCTAACGAGAAAAAAAATATACTGTTAGGTCTGGACTTCTGTTTTCGGATATTAAAGCTTGAAACAGATGCTGTCTAGTTCCCGTCATGTTCTCAAAAAAAATTTGTTTTCAGTATCCTAGTATCTTTTGTAGAGATTCCGTAGGCATTGTAAAATAAATATCTTTATTCCAAGACATGTAGGTGTACGCCACCGAGTGTAGATACTGACGTTTGTGTCGGGAGTAAAGCAGATGTACGTCAGAGATTAGATACTGAAGTTTGTGTCGGGACTAAAGCAGGTGTACGCCACAGAGTGTAGATGCTGAAGTTTGTGTCGGGACTAAAGCAGGTGTACGCCACAGAGTGTAGATGCTGAAGTTTGTGTCGGGACTAAAGTAGGTGTACACCACAGAGTGTAGATGCTGAAGTTTGTGTCGGGACTAAAGCAGGTGTACGCCACAGAGTGTAGATGCTGAAGTTTGTGTCGGGACTAAAGTAGGTGTACACCACAGAGTGTAGATGCTGAAGTTTGTGTCGGGACTAAAGTAGGTGTACGCCACAGAGTGTAGATGCTGAAGTTTGTGTCGGGACTAAAGTAGGTGTACGCCAGAGTGTAGATACTGAACTTTGTGTCAGGACTAAAGCAGGTATATGCCAGAGTGTAGATACTGAAGTTTGTGTCGGGACTAAAGTAGGTGTACGCCAGAGTGTAGATACTGAAGTTTGTGTCGGAACTAAAGCAGTTGTATACCAGAGTGTAGATACTGAAGTTTGTGTCGGGACTAAAGTAGGTGTATGCCAGAGTGTAGATACTGAAGTTTGTGTCTGGACTAAAGCAGGTGTATGCCAGAGTGTAGATACTGAAGTTTGTGTCGGGACTAAAGTAGGGATTCACCAGAGTGTAAATACTGAAGTTTGTGTCGGGACTTAAGTAGGGGAATGCCAGAGTGTAGATACTGAACTTTGTGTCAGGACTGAAGTAGGTGTATGCCAGAGTGTAGATGCTGAAGTTTGTGTCGGGACTAAAGCAGGTGTACGCCACAGAGTGTAGATGCTGAAGTTTGTGTCGGGACTAAAGTAGGTGTACACCACAGAGTGTAGATGCTGAAGTTTGTGTCGGGACTAAAGTAGGTGTACGCCACAGAGTGTAGATGCTGAAGTTTGTGTCGGGACTAAAGTAGGTGTACGCCAGAGTGTAGATACTGAACTTTGTGTCAGGACTAAAGCAGGTATATGCCAGAGTGTAGATACTGAAGTTTGTGTCGGGACTAAAGTAGGTGTACGCCAGAGTGTAGATACTGAAGTTTGTGTCGGAACTAAAGCAGTTGTATACCAGAGTGTAGATACTGAAGTTTGTGTCGGGACTAAAGTAGGTGTATGCCAGAGTGTAGATACTGAAGTTTGTGTCTGGACTAAAGCAGGTGTATGCCAGAGTGTAGATACTGAAGTTTGTGTCAGGACTAAAGCAGGTATATGCCAGAGTGTAGATACTGAAGTTTGTGTCGGGACTAAAGTAGGTGTACGCCAGAGTGTAGATACTGAAGTTTGTGTCGGAACTAAAGCAGTTGTATACCAGAGTGTAGATACTGAAGTTTGTGTCGGGACTAAAGTAGGTGTATGCCAGAGTGTAGATACTGAAGTTTGTGTCGGGACTAAAGTAGGTGTATGCCAGAGTGTAGATACTGAAGTTTGTGTCTGGACTAAAGCAGGTGTATGCCAGAGTGTAGATACTGAAGTTTGTGTCGGGACTTAAGTAGGGGAATGCCAGAGTGTAGATACTGAACTTTGTGTCAGGACTGAAGTAGGTGTATGCCAGAGTGTAGATACTGAAGTTTGTGTCGGAACTAAAGCAGTTGTATGCCAGAGTGTAGATACTGAAGTTTGTGTCGGGACTAAAGTAGGTGTATGCCAGAGTGTAGATACTGAATTTTGTGTCGGGACTAAAGTAGGTGTACGCAACAGACTGTAGATACTGAAGTTTGTGTGGGGACTAAAGTAGGTGTACGCAACAGAGTGTAGATACTGAACCTTGTGTCGGAACTAAAGCAGTTGTATGCCAGAGTGTAGATACTGAAGTTCGTGTCGGGACTAAAGTAGGTGTACGCAACAGAGTGTAGATACTGAACCTTGTGTCGGGACTAAAGTAGGTGTACGCCACAGAGTGTAGATACTGAAGTTTGTGTGGGGACTAAAGTAGGTGTACGCCACAGAGTGTAGATACTGAAGTTTGTGTGGGGACAAAAGTAGGTGTACGCCACAGAGTGTAGATACTGAAGTTTGTGTCGGGACTAAAGTAGGTGTACGCAACAGAGTGTAGATACTGAACTTTGTGTCAGGACTGAAGTAGGTGTATGCCACAGTGTAGATACTGAAGTTTGTGTCGGGACTAAAGTAGGTGTACGCCAGAGTGTAGATACTGAAGTTTGTGTCGGAACTAAAGCAGTTGTACGCCAGAGTGTAGATACTGAAGTTTGTGTCGGGACTAAAGTAGGTGTATGCCAGAGTGTAGATACTGAATTTTGTGTCGGGACTAAAGTAGGTGTATGCCAGAGTGTAGATACTGAACTTTGTGTCTGGACTAAAGTAGGTGTACGCCACCGAGTGTAGAGACTGAAGTTTGTGTCGGTACTAAAGTAGGTGTACGCAACAGAGTGTAGATACTGAAGTTTGTGTCGGGACTAAAGTAGGTGTACGCAACAGAGTGTAGATACTGAAGTTTGTGTCGGGACTAAAGTAGGTGTACGCAACAGAGCGTAGATACTGAAGTTTGTGTCGGGACTAAAGTAGGTGTACGCCACGGAGTGTAGATGCTGAAGTTTGTGTCGGGACTAAAGTAGGTGTACGCCAGAGTGTAGATACTGAACTTTGTGTCAGGACTAAAGCAGGTATATGCCAGAGTGTAGATACTGAAGTTTGTGTCGGGACTAAAGTAGGTGTACGCCAGAGTGTAGATACTGAAGTTTGTGTCGGAACTAAAGCAGTTGTATACCAGAGTGTAGATACTGAAGTTTGTGTCGGGACTAAAGTAGGTGTATGCCAGAGTGTAGATACTGAAGTTTGTGTCGGGACTAAAGTAGGTGTATGCCAGAGTGTAGATACTGAATTTTGTGTCGGGACTAAAGTAGGTGTATGCCAGAGTGTAGATACTGAACTTTGTGTCTGGACTAAAGTAGGTGTACGCCACCGAGTGTAGAGACTGAAGTTTGTGTCGGTACTAAAGTAGGTGTACGCAACAGAGTGTAGATACTGAAGTTTGTGTCGGGACTAAAGTAGGTGTACGCAACAGAGTGTAGATACTGAAGTTTGTGTCGGGACTAAAGTAGGTGTACGCAACAGAGCGTAGATACTGAAGTTTGTGTCGGGACTAAAGTAGGTGTACGCCACGGAGTGTAGATACTGAAGTTTGTATCGGGACTAAAGTAGGTGTACGCAACAGAGTGTAGATACTGAACTGTGTGTAGAGTAAAGTAGATGTACGCCACAGAGTGAGGATACTGACGTTTGTGTCGGGACTAAAGTAGGTGTACGCCAGAGTGTAGATACTGAACTTTGTGTAGAGTAAAGTAGATTTACGCCACAGAGTGTAGATACTGACGTTTGTGCAGGGAACAAAGTAGGTGTACGATTCAACTTGTATATTAGATGGAAAAGAACGCTGTCTACATGCAGTACTGCGAGTACATTAATTTTTTTGCACGTTTCTATGGGCTAAAAGTAAACAATGTTAAGACAGTGATAAGGCTTATTTGGATAGGGTAAATATAAGATCAAGAATGAAGTTATGTCTTCGTGGAAACTAAACTGGGCGCAAGGTCCCGGTGACCTCCTTGGGATATCCTATTGTCTTGAGTTAGAAGAAATGACTGATTTGAATAATAAAGAGCATTATTGAAATTGTGAAAACGCCAATGTCAATTTGGTCAACTCGACAACTAACTCCCCTCGGCAGAAATATAATTTCAAATCTTTGCAGCTTTGCCAAACCCCCCTGACTGATGTTGATTTTCAAAAGAAATGTTTCCAGTTTATATGGGCCAGAAAACCAGATAAAGTAAAAAGAAAAAGGTGATTTGTGATAAAAATAACGGAGGTTGTAATGTTCCGAAAGTAATAGAAATAATAATGGCCCCAAAACTATCAATTATTAGAAGATTCTTTAATAAGCAAACAAAATGGGGTACTCTTTTTAAATGAACTTACCGAAAGTTGGACAAGAGTCCATATTGAATACAGCTGCCAATATTAAAGAAACACTGGTCAAAATCATACGAAACGACTTTTACAAAGATCTCCTGACTTCTTGGTCGAATTTCATTTCATCTATTCATCCCAAAGAACTATCATAATTGGACATACTTACGAATAATGTGTGGTTCAACGAAAATATCTAGATTAATGGAAAAGAGGTATTTTATGAAAATAGACACAGAAAAGGCATATGCTATGTAAATGACTTGTTGAAAGAGAAAGGTAAATTTCTACCCTTTGAATCTTTTGTAAAGAAATTTAATTTACAAACACATTTCTTGACATACATGGGCATTATGAACTCCATAAAACAATACTGCAGAAACAAATGCATCAATTGAAAGAATTTGAGACCCCTCTTAAATTCCATTAGCTCCTTTAATATGCAACACCTACAGAAATGTGAAAAAGGCACTCCATACTTTTACAAACGTTTGGTTAAGAAACACTGTGTAAAAAATTCAACGCACCATAAAGTGGGAAAATATTTTCAAAGTAGAAATATCTTTAGAGGACTGGACAAACTATAAGAGCATACCCTTTAGGTGCACTCATTTAGACAGATTCTTTAAATATTAGTCATCATGCCATTCACTTTTTTTGCAACATGAAAGTCACCGTTTTTTCTGTTTCGTCAAAACAATATGAAATGCATCTAATGAAAAAGAATGTTTAAAAAAAGAAAAGGTTCTGCATTGCCAACACAGCACTTTATCTCCAGAATATGCATAGAGAATAGTTGAACACATGTGCTGCTTTATGCTGACATGCGCAGTGGGACTTTCAGTTGGAAACTCACGTATATAAATTGCTGCAGTAACCTTCGGCAGCAGTCACTAGCCTGCATTCAACGTCGTCACAGTCAGAAAGGTAAAGTATCCAAACTTCTCAATTGTTCACAAATATGATTTTATATATATATATATATATATACTTTTTATTATATGTGTGTTGTTGTGATCATGAGCATTACAGACAGCGTTACTTTAATTATAAACTAGATATATACAAAGAGCTCCAACATCTCTGTAGAGTTCAGTCATCATAAATAACCATTGGTGTTTCAATTCCTTTATTGAATTGCAAAAGTGAGACAGATAGGCGGAGCGAGAAAGAGAGCAAATGTGCGATAGCATAAAGAGAGCAGAAGACGTTTTAAGTGTCACCAATAATCCCGCCATGTCTATATGTTATTGCACAAAATTAAAAGAACTGATGTAATGATATGGAAACAACAACCGGCCTTGCTCTATTTATGAAAGGAATGTGAATTAATAATGACAAAGTATGAGTGTTGAGTACATGTTGTATATTTATTGGAGATTATACCTGATAGATGGCAGACACCCGGGCGTGAGGCATCATCGTAGACACAATTATCAATAATGGACAATTAAATATATAAAAAATATAGGAAATGATACAAGCACAAAATGTTTCAATGATGAGAGGATTCTATGTAAAAGTCATCGAAAGGACATGAACTCCTCTCCAACTGTGATCTTCAAAATTATTTGAATATAACTGTGAAAACCTGAAAGGTGTTATCATCCCGCTAGTTCGCAATACGTTCCACCGTGACCTTCTGTCAGCCTGTTGGTACTTTACTTCTAGATTAGAGAATGGTAAAAGTTAAAATAGTTATATAACTTCGCAAAATATCTGGTATAATAAAAACATTTTAACTGATAGAAAAGTAAACCAAATCCAACTTGGAATGAGAAAGGGATACGTTATGTGAATGACCTGCTACAGGTTTTATTTAATTTATAAGTAAGTTTAACGTAAAATAAAATTACTTACAATATAAAAGGGTTCTAAGCGCAATAAAAAATGTGTTCCGCAAAGAATATTTAATTAGAAACCCTAAAAATACAAGAAAATCCTTACCAACACTGTGCCACCATGCCATGAACAGGCTTGCATTCCACGAGTAATACTTACTGTTCACATTGATACAGAACCAGCAATTCAACCATCAATGTTTATTGTATGTTTCAAAAGAATGGTACAGTTATCTGGCACATACCATTTGATATCAGTCCATTATGCATACATTTCTTGTTTTTGTTGGTTTGTTTTTTAACGCCATGTTCGGCAATATTCCAATATACGGCGGCCTTTAAATGGTCGAATCTCGACAAACACTCCAGTGATTGACACATGTGGATCAATTCAACCAATAGGGTTATAACATTTAGTCAACCACATCATCAAGCTTGACCACGACTTAGTCGCCTCTTACGACCAGTACCCAAACTTTGAACTATCTTTACCTGCATCTCTTCAGGAAACCATCTTTCCTCAAATACTTGCCCATGTTAAAATATATGCAGCTTGTAGCGAGTCAAAATTTCCTGTTACTGGTAAAAGCATCGTTTCTGATAATTATATTTATATCAGTTGCAAAAGGTTTTCACAATGATTAAATTAGTTAGTTCATACACTGTTACACTTTAGAAGATTCAATTTGAAAAATATCATATACCGCATGATGATATGTTTCAGCTAAAGTCAACCTTGGTACCTTTTGATTGATTCTTGATTCTCGTCACTATTCACACTTGTTGAATGGTTATAAGCTGACGACTAATAACTGTTGATATATTCACAAATCCATATTTGTCAAGGCCAAAGCAGGTGATTTTTTTATAAACATTCACAACCGATCCTTGACATAATGATCTACCGATAGTCCACATGCAGCTTCAGTGTCCCTGGCAACTTGAAATCAAATCTCACAGTATTAGAACGCAAAGGCTTCGTGTCAGGATGGTTAAATGTCTGTCTTTTTGTTTGCATGTTTGTTTGTTTGTTTGTGTGGTTTGTACCACCATCCTCTGCAATATCCCAGCTATTGGCGTGTAAATCATCAAGTGTGGACCAAGCAACCAAGCGATATGAGAAAAGCCCTGTGTCTTGTTAAATACACAAATGTTATGATACTTTTCACAATCTGCGTATAAATGTGCACAATGATATGGCAAATATATCTTTGTCCATAGCCAGAAATTAAAGGCGGAACTTAAATAAACCTGGACTTTCGGTTTTTGAGGAGAAAGTACGATTTTACAACAATGTTCATACATCTCCTTGGTCTCCTCACCCTGTCGTTTCTTCCCTGGTCGGTTCTCGGCTCCGATGATGATAGAGACGCCCGGCTGTACAGAGTTGACATCACCCTTCCGCCTAAAGAGGGGAGGGACGAGACGGCAGACATATTGCAGATAAATGCAACAGTGGAGGGTCTAACTGACATTGAAGTTTTGTTTTCGTTTAAGGTTAGTGAAATTGTTGCATCGCCATTTTGTAACGCGTAGACCCCCTCACGTTGCTTGTCATAAGAGACGATTCAATTTGGATCAGGTGGTCAGGCTTTGTGCCTTAGCTGATTGCATGTGATCTTGCCCCCATTGTGTTGATCCTTGCTCATCACGTGGTTATATATTGGTTGCAACAAAGCATTCTGTTATTCATAGACAAACAACCATGTTGCTAAATACACAATACTTTGATCGGAATGTCAGGATATTTAACGTCACCGTGTGTCGGTCCTTTAATCTTTGCCCACATATATTTACAGTCTGCTTGAATACCGCTTATCTTGCCTCAGAAATAATCAACCTTTCACTAAAATCAGTTACTCACACATATTAACAAATTCCTGTTTGTTTAACAGGAAGTCGGGAACCCAAAGGTATTGCTGGGTAAGTTCGATTTTAAACAATTTTCTCCATGTTTCTTCATAACAAACTTACTTTTACTGCTCAACACATATCCCATTGATGGAATATGTAACTGTACTACGTCACTAGCTAGCATCGCCAAATCTGAACCAAACTTCATTAATCGTGAAGGACATTTGATTTTGTCCAATCATCGTCCATGGATGCAGTATGACACAATGGCTTCCAGCGTGGGGTCAGGACGATCATTCAGAAACTATATTATAGATAGAACAGCTATCCTTTTATTGTCAATTGACATGTTAATCTCCTATGTTCGTTTACAAGACAAAGGAAAAAAAAATATCTGTTTATTTCAGTTATTGATGTTGAGAAAGCGTGCAGCTGGCCACAGTTGACAAGCTTTCTGTCACGAAAGGGCTATGAGGTGAAGACGACCCCAGTGTACCGCTGCAGTGACTACGCCCAGGAACTTGGGGTCAATATGTCCAGAGACATATATGATTCCTCTCTCAAGGATGATGAGGACTTACTTCTTGGCAGGCAGATATTTCAAGTCAAAGGTATGCCTGGCACTTAAGCTCTTAGAAACAGATTATTACATATAAGCATTATGTAAGCATCACTGTACGTGCATCCCTTGTCTACAGACGAACGTTTCCTTGACAACCGCAAGTGTTGATATAAAATGGATGTGACCACGGCAGCCCTTCCAGCGAGTATAAGCATCGTCCAGGAACAATAACGCGGTAGCACTGTAGCTTCCCTAGTTATACATTCAACTGTTTGATATGTCAGCATACGAAGTACATGTTTCCGGTATACATTTGCGTTGGTTTTCAAAAGGGATATAAAGCAGACATAATCAAAGTGTGGATATTATTCTCGGTTCACTCCAAATTGTCAGACATCCAATTTGTCAGACGACTCAATCGTCAGACAGACCAGTCAAGTATGACCAGTGTAACTGCCTGGTCTTACCTACTAATTAATGAACTGCTCCGAACTGTGGGTAGAGTATGCTACTCTTAATCGTTAAGTTTTACAGATTATCCTGACTATGATTGTGTTTATAAGTTGCATTTGAGCTGTGTCGGGTTGCTTATGTTTTATAAGCAAATATTTAGAGCAGTTTTTCCAGTGATATAGTGAATATAGGAAACTCAGTGAAAATTAACGAACAATGTCGGATACAATGTTAAGTAGAATTCACATTCAATAGATTAAACTTCTCAATAATCTGCGTCTAATCTCACATGTACTACAGGTAGCGTACTATATTACATGAAGTCAAAGTCAGTAAGGTATCACCACCATGGCTGGTATACGCAGGTTTGACAACATAGAGTCTCAGAGAGGAACCCCACAAGTATTCCTTGATGGGTTCACTTACTCTAAGAATCGAGCCAGAGGCCAGACCACACACTGGAGATGGAGATGTATCATCAAGATCTGCCATGGGAAATGAACAACTGTTGGGGACTTCCTTGCAGATGTCTTGGACCACTGCCACCAACCTGGAGATCAGACTCCTGTCAAGTTTGGGCCAGGGAAGAAGCAACGCCTGTCCAAACTACAATGCAGAAGTAGGCCGCCAGACTCCAGAAAACGTTAAACATCCTCCTTCGTTCCCAAGCTTGAAGAGTTCCCTCTATCAACAACGCCGAATAACAATCCCTGTCCAGCCACAAACCAGAGCTGTTGCTCACCTTGAGGGGCTGTGGACCACTACCAGGGATGGCAGAAGATTCATCTTCTGCGCAGACGGTGAAGAAGAAAAGATCCTGATCTTTTTCCACTGATGCGCAGCTGAGGTGTCTTGCTGAAGTTGATACGGTCTTCATGGATGGTACGTTTGCCTGCTGTCCTCACCTGTGGAATCAGCTGTACACTGTACATGCCCGCAGTGGATACACCATGCACACACTTGTCTTCGGCCTGCTGCCCAGCCGACAACGGACGACATACGCCAGATTCTTAATTTTCCTGAAAACAGAGGTACAGCAGACTCTTAACCGACCCTTCTCACCAGCTACCGTTGAGACAGACTTTGAGATGGCGGCCCTTCGAGCGATCGAATGTGAGTTCCCAACAGCAGACATCAAGGGATGTTTCTTCCACTACACCCAGGCTATATGGAGGAAGACTCAAGAGCACAGATGTCCAGTACAAGGAAGACCCCCAGGTGCAGAGCACAGGAAGAAGGTCTACAGAGATCCCAGGAAGAAGGTCTACGGAGAATCAGAGAGAAGGCTGGTGTGTCTCAAAGAGAAGATGCTCATTGGGAAAAAGACCCCTCTTGAATTTTGGGATGCTGTTGAAATTTGCTGACGCTGAACTGAAAACTGTGATCAGTGTGTATTGTGTATACAGCTTCTTTTGCAATAATATAATGAGTACTTCAAAAAGTCTGATTTCTGGCATGAGTTGGTAATTAATATTGCATAATAAACCTATCCTGTAAATTCCTCAAAATGTGTGTTTTCTGGTCTGTTAAACTTCAGTGAAAGGTAAGCAGGTAACTATTGCTTGACTAACCAACCTTGACTAATCCTGGTATACGCTTTCTGACAAACGCGGTGTCTGACAATTGGCACAACTCTTGTGTGTCGGATTCTGAATTTCATTGAAGGCAGGGAAGTCTACAGGTGAACTTGTTTTACATTGAACGAACATTATTATCACCCAAGTCACAAATAACTGACATACTTTTTGTCTTTTGTGGCCGAATTCTTTAAAGCTATCGTATTTTAATTGGTTGCTAAGTTATTCCTTGGTGTCCCAACTGATATGTCTGTGACATCTTCTGATGATTTGGAAGGCGGATGAAGCTATACAGCACAGTCGCAAGTGGCTCATACTAACGCAAACGCATACAACACACTAGGAATTACACTGTTTACCACACAATCTCAAAATACACAATCACGTTTTGTTGATAATTTTTTTACGTTCCCATTTCAGGCAAATGAATATCATCCAATTCATACTTACATTTCAGATTTAACAACAGCTGAGTTCAACGAGAAGATGAAACAGATGTTTGTAAGGGAAAAGGGCATCTTGGAAGCAGGTCAACGGGGGGCATGTTTCAGATCTCTAGCAAGCCTTCCAGTTGAGGTAAACCATCTTGCACAAGTCATTAATCCCCTGATTTTGAATCTGTTTGTTACTACGGTTACTAAAATGGTCAACGTCTAAGACATCCTCCCACATCAAACCTTCACGTAATGTAACAAATACTATTGAAAGAGGCGTAAATCCAACTCACTCACATGTCATTGTTCTGTCCATCTCACTTTGTTGCCAATAAATTATTGGATTCCATCATTTTGGTTGCAGATGCAGCTTGGTGTGTGTGTGTGTGTGTGTGTGTGTGTGTGTGTGTGTGTGTGTGTGTGTGTGTGTGTGTGTGTGTGTGTGTTTGTGTGTGTTTGTGTGTGTGTGTGTGTGTGTGTGTGTGTGTGTGCCTGCTTGTCCACCTGTTGTTAGCAGCGATGGGGTAAAGCGTTTTTCAACTCGTCACGCTGAAAATCCGGGATGCGTGTTTGCCTTTCTCCCACATTAGGCTGACACACCATTCATTACTATTGCTTTTAATATAGATACTGTGCTGGTTATCCTTCTTAATAACATTATGCAATGACTTAATTCTACACCATTATTTCAGCTGATACACTTCGGCCCAGTTAGTCCGAGCAGAATGGACACGATGGAGGAAACCTTACGTGGCCCTGAGACCTTTGACATGGAATTGAGTCGAATGCAGAACCTGGCTCATTACTCGCAAGGGTGCCAGAAATAAGATGTACCTTCCAACACAACCTTTTTTTTGTCAAATTGACAGAATAAGGATAAAATATAAGGATCCACTAAAACCGATAGATCTTGAAACCAGATTATTCAACAGAAATACATTTAAACCTGTACACATATTTAATTGTATGTAATCATCTTTGGCTGAATAAACCATGGCATTCCTTTCATCTTTCCTTTTAATTCATTAATGCCCTATGCGGCGGAATGTGAAACATGGATGGTGCAGTTCTTCAGAGAATTGTGAGGCGACTATGCATGTCGTAAGAGGCGACTAACGAGATCAGGTAGTCAGGCTCGCTGACTTGATTGATGCATGTCATCGTATCCCAATTGCGTAGTTCGATGCTCATGATGTCAGTCACTGGATTGTCTTGTGCAGACTCAATTATTTACAGACCGCTGTCATATAGCTGGAATATTGCTTGGTGTGGGGTTAAACAACAAACCAACAGAGAAATGTGAGAATCCAGCTTGAGGTAACTGGTATCAAACATAACTATGAGATCGAATTCCAGGGCTGTGATTGGCTATTCCGTTGTGATACCCTCAGGTCAGATTATGATCAACTGCTTTATTAGCAAATTATTTCTCTGTTCTATTATGTTAAGACACTGTTTCCTTTTGGTATATGGTTGGATTGCACACGACCTTAAAAACCCTTCATCTATAAGTTCATGCATATAACAGATAAAGTCAGTGCTTGGCTGGCTATAAGAGACATGGAGATGGCGAAATCACTTCTATCTAGCAAGGAGGTGCTCTGTGGCATGATATTTTGAGTTGGTGCAATGAAGAACACGTTTGATGTTTGCACCCTGCATTCATAGCAAAGCTGCAAGACATCACGTTCGACGTCCCCAAGCAGCATCACCTCCTATACTGAGTATCAATGCATCATGTTTGACGTCCTTTAAGGAGCATCACCTCCTCTTCTGAGTATCAAAGCAAGTTGATCCTTGATCAGTTTTTTTCGAATGAAGGAAAAGTGCACATATATTTTCCGACTATTAGTAATATTATATCCCAAAATTTGAAATTTTGGCACCTCGTATGCCCATATCCATTACGTTTGACGTCCTCAAATAGCATCACCTCCTATACTGAGGATCAATGCATCACGTTTGACGTCCTCAAGGAGCATCGCCTCCTATACTGAGTATCAATTCATCAGGTTTGACATCCTCAAGGTGCATCACTTCCTATACTGAGTCTCAATTCATCACGTTTGACGTCCTCGAGGTGCATCACTTCCTATACTGAGCATCAATTCATCACGTATGACGTCCTCAAGGTGCATCACCTCCTATACTGAGTATCAATTCATCACGTTTGACATCCTCAAGGTGCATCACCTCATATACTGAGTATCAGTTCATCACATTTGACGTCCTCAAGGAGCATCACCTCCTATCCTGAGTATCAATGCATCACGTATGACGTCCTCAGGAAGCAAAGCCTCCTATACTGAGTATCAATGCATCACGTTTGACGTCCCCAAGCAGCATCACCTCCTATACTGAGTATCAATGCATCATGTTTGACGTCCTTTAAGGAGCATCACCTCCTCTTCTGAGTATCAAAGCAAGTTGATCCTTGATCAGTTTTTTTCGAATGAAGGAAAAGTGCACATATATTTTCCGACTATTAGTAATATTATATCCCAAAATTTGAAATTTTGGCACCTCGTATGCCCATATCCATTACGTTTGACGTCCTCAAATAGCATCACCTCCTATACTGAGGATCAATGCATCACGTTTGACGTCCTCAAGGAGCATCGCCTCCTATACTGAGTATCAATTCATCAGGTTTGACATCCTCAAGGTGCATCACTTCCTATACTGAGTATCAATTCATCACGTTTGACGTCCTCGAGGTGCTTCACTTCCTATACTGAGCATCAATTCATCACGTATGACGTCCTCAAGGTGCATCACCTCCTATACTGAGTATCAATTCATCACGTTTGACATCCTCAAGGTGCATCACCTCATATACTGAGTATCAGTTCATCACATTTGACGTCCTCAAGGAGCATCACCTCCTATCCTGAGTATCAATGCATCACGTATGACGTCCTCAGGAAGCAAAGCCTCCTATACTGAGTATCAATGCATCACGTTTGACGTCCTCAAGGAGCATCACTTCCTATACTGAGTATCAATTCATCACATTTGACGTCCTCAAGGAGAATCACCTTCTATACTGAGTATCAATTCATCACGTTTGACGTCCTCAAGGAGCATCACCTCCTATACTGTGTATCAATTCATCACGTTTGACATCCTCAAGTTGCATCACTTCCTATACTGAGTATCAATTCATCACGTTTGACGTCCTCAAGGAACATCACCTTCTATACTGAGTATCAATTCATCACGTTTGACGTCCTCAAGGAGCATCGCCTCCTATACTGAGTATCAATTCATCACGTTTGACATCCTCAAGTTGCATCACTTCCTATACTGAGTATCAATTCATCACGTTTGACGTCCTCAAGGAGCATCACCTTCTATACTGAGTATCAATTCATCACGTTTGACGTCCTAAAGGAGCATCGCCTCCTATACTGAGTATCAATTCATCACGTTTGACATCCTCAAGGTGCATCACCTTCTATACTGAGTATCAATTCATCACGTGTGACGTCCTCAAGGAGCATTACCTCCTATACTGAGTATCAATTCATCACCTCTGACGTCCTCAATGAGCATCACCTTCTATACTGAGTACCAATGCATCGCGTATGACGTCCTCAAGGAGCATCGCCTCCTATACTGAGTATCAATGCATCACGTATGACGTCATCAAGGAGCATCGCCTCCTATACTGAGTATGAATGCATTACGTATGACCTCCTCAAGGAGCATCATCTTCTATACTGAGTATCAATTCATCACGTTTGACGTCCTCAAGGAGCATCACCTCCTATAATGAGTATCAATGCATCACGTATGACGTCCTCAAGGAGCATCGCCTCCTATACTGAGTATCAATGCACCACGCTTGACATCCTCAAGGAGCATCACCTCCTATACTGAGTATCAATTAATCACGTTTGACGTCCTCAAGGAGCATCACCTCCTATACTGAGTATCAATGCATCACGTATGACGTCCTCAGGAAGCAAAGCCTCCTATACTGAGTATAAATGCATCACGTTTGACGTCCTCAAGGAGCATCACTTCCTATACTGAGTATCAATTCATCACGTTTGACATCCTCAAGTTGCATCACTTCCTATACTGAGTATCAATTCATCACATTTGACGTCCTCAAGGAGAATCACCTTCTATACTGAGTATCAATTCATCACGTTTGACGTCCTCAAGGAGCATCACCTCCTATACTGAGTATCAATTCATCACGTTTGACATCCTCAAGTTGCATCACTTCCTATACTGAGTATCAATTCATCACGTTTGACGTCCTCAAGGAGCATCACCTTCTATACTGAGTATCAATTCATCACGTTTGACGTCCTCAAGGAGCATCGCCTCCTATACTGAGTATCAATTCATCACGTTTGACATCCTCAAGTTGCATCACTTCCTATACTGAGTATCAATTCATCACGTTTGACGTCCTCAAGGAGCATCACCTTCTATACTGAGTATCAATTCATCACGTTTGACGTCCTCAAGGAGCATCGCCTCCTATACTGAGTATCAATTCATCACGTTTGACATCATCAAGGAGCATCACCTTCTATACTGAGTATCAATTCATCACGTGTGACGTCCTCAAGGAGCATTACCTCCTATACTGAGTATCAATTCATCACCTCTGACGTCCTCAATGAGCATCACCTTCTATACTGAGTACCAATGCATCGCGTATGACGTCCTCAAGGAGCATCGCCTCCTATACTGAGTATCAATGCATCACGTATGACGTCATCAAGGAGCATCGCCTCCTATACTGAGTATCAATGCATCACGTATGACGTCCTCAAGGAGCATCATCTTCTATACTGAGTATCAATTCATCACGTTTGACGTCCTCAAGGAGCATCACCTCCTATAATGAGTATCAATGCATCACGTATGACGTCCTCAAGGAGCATCGCCTCCTATACTGAGTATCAATGCACCACGCTTGACATCCTCAAGGAGCATCACCTCCTATACTGAGTATCAATTAATCACGTTTGACGTCCTCAAGGAGCATCACCTCCTATACTGAGTATCAATGCATCACGTATGACGTCCTCAGGAAGCAAAGCCTCCTATACTGAGTATAAATGCATCACGTTTGACGTCCTCAAGGAACATCACCTTCTATACTGAGTATCAATTCATCACGTTTGACATCCTCAAGTTGCATCACTTCCTATACTGAGTATCAATTCATCACATTTGACGTGCTCAAGGAGAATCACCTTCTATACTGAGTATCAATTCATCACGTTTGACGTCCTCAAGGAGCATCAACTCCTATACTGAGTATCAATTCATCACGTTTGACATCCTCAAGTTGCATCACTTCCTATACTGAGTATTAATTCATCACGTTTGACGTCCTCAAGGAGCATCACCTTCTATACTGAGTATCAATTCATCACGTTTGACGTCCTCAAGGAGCATCGCCTCCTATACTGAGTATCAATTCATCACGTTTGACATCCTCAAGTTGCATCACTTCCTATACTGAGTATCAATTCATCACGTTTGACGTCCTCAAGGAGCATCGCCTTCTATACTGAGTATCAATTCATCACGTTTGACGTCCTCAAGGAGCATCGCCTCCTATACTGAGTATCAATTCATCACGTTTGACATCATCAAGGAGCATCACCTTCTATACTGAGTATCAATTCATCACGTGTGACGTCCTCAAGGAGCATTACCTCCTATACTGAGTATCAATTCATCACCTCTGACGTCCTCAATGAGCATCACCTTCTATACTGAGTACCAATGCATCGCGTATGACGTCCTCAAGGAGCATCGCCTCCTATACTGAGTATCAATGCATCACGTATGACGTCATCAAGGAGCATCGCCTCCTATACTGAGTATCAATGCATCACGTATGACGTCCTCAAGGAGCATCATCTTCTATACTGAGTATCAATTCATCACGTTTGACGTCCTCAAGGAGCATCACCTCCTATAATGAGTATCAATGCATCACGTATGACGTC